TCCCATGGTTTCCCAGTGCCAGAAGATTGTCCGACCCTCACAGGACAGGTTACATTACGGTGCCCCTAAATTGGCTTTATATTGTATGGGCGCAGGAGGAAAAGGTTCACTGGGCCAACCGCAATAAGTTATTCACGATGGAGAGGTGGAGGGTGTAATATTCAGCAAGAAGGGCAGACCCGTAGGTTAGAATTAATGAGCACGGGAGAACAGTGGGTGAGCACAGCAGCAGCAGACTCGTGGCACTCCATGTAGACGGCGCAGGTAAGCACGCGATTGTCTGCGTGGTACGACGTCACCCTGGGCCTTTGAAGTTTAGAGAATAAAAAAAGTGGCCCCGGACAATTTTCGGGCAGTTGTCTTCAACCTCCGGGCTGTCAAGACCCACTCCCTGCCATCCTGCCTCCTCGAACCGCTCGCTGCATAATTTGGATTGGAGGGCAGCCGACTTTGTGGAAACACTACCCACAAGTGCACAAGCGCATTGGGGAGAGGTAATGCACCCCCTTGGCCAATGCTTCTGTGCATATGACCGTGAGGAGGCAAAGGCGGCATTAAATGTGTGCCACCGCCAGCCAGGCGAGGACCTCTGCAATTACGCCGAGGACGTGCGCTTGCTAACGCAGAGCGCTCACCCGTGGTACGCTGCCGAAATCATTGAGGACCTCGCCGCCGAGAAGATCCAGCAATATCTGACTGGCACCTCGTGGTGGCAGCCAGATGTGAGCTGCATGCGCCTCCCATTTAAGGCCCTTGTTGAGCGCGCACGTGCATGCGTTAAACTCGCTAATGAGCGCGCGCAGTTCCGAAGGCTGGGACGGGAGTGCGCCATCGCAAGCCTTCTTCTAGAGGAGGAAGAGGAGAAGAAGGAGCTCGCCAGGATGGTGAGGGGGGAGGGCAAGGGAGCCTCAGGGACCCCGTGAGACAACCCCAGAATGGGTGGCAGGACTATAGACCGGCATAGGGGATATAGCAGGCCGGGTGACCCATGTAAGCGAGCAGGTGACCCAAGCACACGAGGAGGTGACCCAAGTACGCGGGGAGGCGAATCGAAATATGGACAAGCTGCGGTCTATAGCGGAGACAGTCCAGGCCGAGGTAGGGGGGGGATAACCGGGCGAGTGGCTCAACTAGAGGCAGAACTCGAACAAATGCGCACTGGGAGGGGAAGGGGGAGTGAGCAATGGGCCTCTAATGGGGCCACCGCCCTTCCCCATATATAATTACAATAACCCCCCCCCCGCCTCAAATTGTTGCACCTGATGAGTTGATGAGTTAATGATGACGTCACCCTGCTGCTCCTCTATATAAGAACGGGAGACACAGCAGAGCCTCACCATTCTGGCGAATTGCCCGATGATGCTGGATGCAATTACCAGCTAAACGTCGTACTCAAACATTGTAAATGTTGTGGTTACACGCTTCAACACACCGGTGGGCTAAAGCAGTGAACTATTTGTCTTTTGTCAACGTGACACTTTTTTACTGATTGGCCGTGTCGGGTGGTGGAGGGTTACGACACATTTATAAAAAACGCGATCTAAACCCAAAAACGTTGATTATGAATAATATTGGTCGCGAAAGCCTACGTGTTAAACTGTAATGATAATGGCGAGCGAGTGACCCCCACACAGATGCCGGAGTGGAGCAAAGTGTCAGGTTAAAAAGAAACATAGCCTAGGGTTTACACCATTATAACCTCATTTGCCAGTAAAAAATATGGTAATTGGTTTTTTATCCTTCTATCTGACAATAAAACTGACAGATAGAAGGGTAAAAAACCAATTATCATATTTTTTACTGGCAAATGAGGTTCCAATGGTGTAAATGCTTACCCCGAGCTCTCATACTTTGATGGTGCATTATCTTTGAGTTGTGCGCCTTTTGGCGTCATCTGGTCCAACCCATTTGAGACTAGGCTCTAAGGAAAGCTGTCTCGGGTGTGGACCAATCAACTTCAAGGACAGTGCACATTATCAGAGTTATGTTTTTTGTTTGCATTATGACTGCAGGTATTGTGGTCTATGTAAACATGACTCCTTATGAAAAAAAAGGTGTCAGTTTTGTTGCCAGATAGAAGGGTAAAAAACCAATTATCATAGCGTAGGGTGTCAGATCTTCAAGACGCGTCACGGCCGTGGTGTGCCGGGTGTATTGATGAGGCGGCCATTTTGTCGTGGAATTGAAATTTTGCTGGTTCATTTTTGGACGAGGCGGCCATCTTGAAGAGTACAGTCTGAAGTTGGAGCCTGGAATGGTGGTTACAACAACTTGCTGGCCTGTGAGAGCGATCGACTGGGGTTCTGCTGTTGACTACTGGTCTGCTCACCAGTGTGTCATCCCAGCAACCATTGTCTTGGAGCCAGGAGTGTTGGTGATGGCAGATTGCTGGCTTGCGAGCACAACCACCTGGAGTCTTACTGTGGACAGCAGTTCTGTTCACCTGTTCGCCACCCGGTAGTGGATCGTCACAGAAAACCACCTGCCACTGCCGTGAAAGTAGCTCTCCCAAATGCTGAAGACTGTGGGGCCTCGACAGCTGGGAAACTCGCGGGTAAGAAGGGAGGTGGCCACCTTAGTGCTGTAAAGTTGTCGTTGGAACGTTTTATTTAATCTGTTCAAGAACTGGGGGAACACTTAATACGTACCCTGGATGGTTGCTCTGCAGTTGTCACCCGTCAGCGTTCGTATTTGAAGAAATCCGTGAAATCGGTATTGTCAGGTTGTTGTAGGATTGTGTTGCTTGTTGTTGCTGTTGTTATGCTGGTGATTTTCATTCCCCCGGGGAAGTAGCAAACTTGTCACCATTCAAGAATTTAATAACTATTACAAATTGAATTAAAAATAAACGCCATTATTTTGCAATATACTGGCAGTGATCCTTGTTATATTCCACGCGTGGTCATTGGGTGCGTCCCGTGATACAGGGGTCCCACCATAAACTAAACCACAGCGGTGCGAGTACTGAGAGCAAAAGCTCATGTCGCAAAAGGACGCACCGTTACAAGGGGCTGATTACCTCAGAGACACTGAGGTATTTAGGAGAGGGGTGAGTGGGCGTGATGACGTCACGACACCTAGAGTGTGAGGTGAAGGAGAGTTGTGAAGACCTCAAGCGACACTGGGGAGGTGAAGCAGAGGTGTGATGACGTCAAGAGACACTGGGAAGGTGGAGGAGAGGGATGATGAAGTCACGCGACACTGGTGAGGTGGAGAGATAGTGATGTCAAGAGACGCGGTAGTGGAACACATTAATTTCAAAAATATTACTAAAATAATGTCAATAAATCAAATGTAATTTTCCAACACGTTTACATAAATTAAGATATAAAAAAAAATATTAAATTGTATCAAATATAAATACCACATGCTAAAACGTACATATTCGCCATCCTTTAATGGCAGACGTTTCTACGGCTTATTGCTAGTCTATGTCAATAACGCACATGCCCAATCAGTCTTTATTTCGTGCCAATATCGCCCTCAATAAGTCGGCATCAGTGGAAATTACAGCAGAACGGGAGTGGTACATGAGCATTGAACAAGAAGAATGAAAATACCAGTCATAACATAGAGGTTTTTTTGGGTTAGATCACGTAAATATATAAATGTGTCATTATAACCCACCACCAACCGATATAGCCAACTAGTAAGGGTTGTCACGTAAACAGAACGTGGCCAATTCGTCACTAGTACAGCACACCGGTGTGTTGGAGAGCCAAGCCACAACATTTACAATCTGAGTACGACGTTTCGCCAGTAATTACAACTAGCTTCATCAGGCGACAGCCAGATTTGTGGAGAAGTAGAAGTGTTTCGTTCCTTATATAGAAGCGTAGATGTGTTGACCATGCTTCTGTGCTCTTGCGCCACATGGGGGTGGGGGGGGGATTAATGAGGCAACGTACATTAGTCTAGATTTGAAGTTTTCGTGACTGCAAGGATCCATACTCTTTGGTTCTTTCGGTAAAGTCACGTAGGTAGAAAATAAAAATAAATTAAATCACGACGTTTCGGACGCAACAAAAGCATCCGTCATCAGGCGGGACAACCACAGCAAGAAACAATTGCTGAAGTAGGCAAAAGAGCTGCTAATAACAAGGGTTGATATAGATGAGGGAGGGGGGGAGGGGCCAAGGATAGAGAGGGTGGGGAGAAAACGTGGCGTGCTGCAAACTCGACATGCACAGCAAATTTCCGAGTGAGCAGGGCTGGGAGTAAGAAACTGGAGATGCGGATATGAAGGCAAACTATAAAGTAGTTAAGGTTTTACCAGGTTAATACATACTTCCAATGATTGCTCAATTTGTATCCATCTTCTCGGTTGAAGTTATGTCTATGTTTATATATCTGGATGGCTTCATGAACAAATATTTGATATGAGCCAGACGGCTTGCAGAGCACCTTGGTCTCGGAGAAAACAATATCATGAGCCCACAGCGTTATAGCAATGGTCGGCAACGGCGGAGGAATTAGTTCTGCCGTGTTTCAAATCTGACTTGTGCTCGCGGACACGGTCAGAGACATGAGGTTTCGTTTCCCCAATGTAACAATCACCACAGATGCAACTTAGTTTGTAGACTCCCGGGTATTGCAAGTCAGGAATGACATCCTTCACAGATGGGATTAGATCACGGATTTTGTGTACTGTTAAACTGACCCGTTACGACCTCAGCGGCTAATACCGACTGAGCAAAACAAAGTGCAACCGCACTCAACGAAATATAAATAATGAAACATGTACGTGGTGAATAAAATAAATAATAAGTAAATAAACCGCTTTTTTATGTTATGGTGTCAAATAGCTGTCATTGCATTTTCACATGTCCGACATTTTCACCTATCTGCCTTTACCTCAGTCCCCAACTAAATGGGATATGTGACATTTACTGTACGATATTGAGTTAAATACCAAAACCCATGTTTACAAATAAAAGCTGAAATCAGGCATGACATATTTTATCAGAAATAAAAAACATGAACTAAAATCGAGCGCTTACCTCCTTGAATTCTTTTTCACTGTATGTTTTTTCATCCTCAGAACCGTCTGCAAATAAAACAAATGTGTATGGCACATGTCATTTTCTTTTGGTACTTATGTTGAACTTCTTTCACACCGTACATTTGAATCCAACATTGGAATCCAGTGTTGGATGAAGGACTAAGGACTTCCCATGCTGTGTCAGTCATGGGGGTTTGTTTGATCAGTGCGGATTGGTATAAAGCAGGCTGCCATGGCCGGTTCAGATATATAATTTACCACCATTGTTAGCCGTAGCCCAATAATAGAATTTAGGTCTTTGAGTTGTGCCACCGTTTTACTTAAATTTGTGTCACGTGTACCTCATATACTCGTGCCGAGAGTTCGTAATTATTTGGACACTGCATCACACGCTTTCAGATGTACTTATGCGGCCATCTGGAACGCTCTTCCTTCCAAGATTAGGGAGCCAATGGAGCTATGCACTTTTAAATCGTCTAGATTGAAAACGAATATCTTTAGAACTGCTTTTTGTATTTAGTTTGTTGTCCCTCCCATGCACCTCCGATTAGCACGGTTGACTACGTACGGCGCAGAAGTTCAACACACATTACATTCAGTAAAGGATATCTCATAGATTGTTCTTGCAAGACGGCTGGCCAGTCTCAGAGTAAAGTGCCCTCTAGTGTGGCGCTCTAGAGCTCCCACTTGTAAGGCTGTCCAACAGCTTGAGCATGAATGTGAAATTGAAGTAATGACAGAGGCCAACTTCTGTTTCTAATAAAAAAACAAAAGCACCACAAATAAAAATGCTGTTTTTCCCCCAGTAATATATCTCCTCCGGTGTAAATAAAAATGCATAGAGCCGTAAATATAAGTGATTACAAACCCGGATATGCCCGCCTCCGACATTCGTTGGTAGACATCTGAAAAGTATAATGAATTGCATCTGGTTATACTTTTCATTAATACAACAAATACATATCCTTTAAGGAATACAATTGTGTGTAATACAAGATAAAGGTGGTGCAGCCCTGATTTGGCTTGCCAATGTTACTGCTAGCGGACGGGCCTATAAAGGTGCTAGAGAAAGCTCCAGAGAACCCCACTAGTGTTTTTAGCCTATTCTTCCACGATGACCAGATTTATTGAAATAGATTGGAGAAAATTACCCACACTTTACCCCACCGCACCCGACCTGTTGATCGACTAACTGTGCTGTACCAATTTGTACTGCTGGGTGGACCAAAGGCAGGGAGGATTTTTAAAAAATCAGAATCAGAATCTTTATTTTGACTGGAGGAATCCCATGAGCTATTAAGCTTTTTTTCACAGATTCCCAGTAAAGGACTTAAGAAACGTGCCCACTTTTAAATGTCGGGCTTGGGAGCACAAACTGGGATCTGTAGATTTAAATTCCATTATACTAACCAACAATACTACAAAAACTCTCCTGAACCCCTCTCGTGGCTAGCAAATCTCCTCGACATTGGCATTTAGCTCCTGAAAATATTTCCACATGCAAGAATATAATTATAAGATAAAGACAAAGTGACCTCTTCTAAACGGTGTAGGGTGGAATGTATATCTTGAGTCATTGGTTACATTTCCACACATCTCTGGTGGATATGTAATTTCTTAAATATTTATTTAGCCTTTAATGCTATTCAGTAAAATCGTCAGGTACACTTTTCATTAACAAAGGCTCAGAAACAAACCCATGCATTGTTATTGATATTGATACATTCCAATTATAATGCTAGAAACGGGGAAAATCAAGCAATGACAAAGTAGGTGATAAGTTGAATTTTTTTAAACTATTGTAATTAAAGTAAAAAAATGTGAAGATAAATGTACGTGGAAGTATTTTACCTCGTGTTGGAATTGTCTCGAGGCTTGGAAGATAAACAAATGCAGCTGAGGAGTCTGGACCGTCTGCGTAATCTCGAAGGCTATTTATACTCTCTCCGAGAATGGAAATTCCCTGTAACCAGATACGTGCCATAGCCTTTGTGATACTACCAACATTAAAGTCACCCACACAGCACACCATTACTGAACTCACCACACAAAACACCACTACTAAAACTCACCACAGCTCACCTACACCAACACTAAAAACACCTACACCAATACTAAACTCACCACAGCTCACCTACACCAACACTAAACTCACCACAGCTAACCTACACAATACTAAACTCACCACAGCTCACCTGCCCAATACTAAACTCACCACAGCTCACTTACACCAACACTAAACTCACCTACACCAATACTAAACTCACCACAGCTCACCTACACCAACACTAAACTCACCACAGCTCACCTACACAATACTAAACTCACCACAGCTCACCTACACCAACACTAAACTCACCTACACCAACACTAAACTCACCACAGCTCACCTACACCAACACTAAACTCACCACAGCTCACCTACACCAACACTAAACTCGCCACAGCTCACCTACACCAACACTAAACTCACCACAGCTCACCTACACAATACTAAACTCACCACAGCTCACCTACACCAACACTAAACTCACCACAGCTCACCTACACAATACTAAACTCACCACAGCTCACCTACACCAACACTAAACTCACCACAGCTCACCTACACAATACTAAACTCACCACAGCTCACCTACACCAACACTAAACTCACCTATACCAACACTAAACTCACCACAGCTCACCTACACAATACTAAACTCACCACAGCTCACCTACACCAACACTAAACTCGCCACAGCTCACCTACACCAACACTAAACTCACCACAGCTCTCCTACACCAACACTAAACTCACCTACACAATACTAAACTCACCACAGCTCACCTACACCAACACTAAACTCACCTACACAATACTAAACTCACCACAGCTCACCTACACAATACTAAACTCACCACAGCTCACCTACACCAACACTAAACTCACCTACACAATACTAAACTCACCAAAGCTCACCTACACAATACTAAACTCACCACAGCTCACCTACACCAGTCTGTGTCTTTATATTCATAGTATTGTTGTTACTTTGATGAATTTTGTAATTTCATTATGTTTGATAAGCATCTTGGGATGTTTTACATGAATTGTTTTAGGAATAAAGTTGTTTTCATGATTATTATATTAACCGTTCAATAACATCATGGGGAACAGATTACAAAATAATTTGCATTTTACGAGCAAATAAAAAAGCGTATTATATTTCACTTCTTGGTGAATATAATTCTTTTTTTGTGGGAGGTGGCAGCTCATTCTCATCTGAGAAATAATATCCAGAGAATCAATGCAACGAAAAGTAATTTAACATCACGGACACGGATACGAACACCCAGCTGGTGCTGTAAGGTGGTTTCCTTAAAAAAGGGGAAGTTTTGAGGTGACTACACGAGGTTCGTTTTAAAGACGTGAAAGTGTACATGGTGACAATGCACTATGTACAATGGCTGGACTCTGTGTCTCCGAGTGTTATTTAAAAGGTCACCTATTTATTATTTCTAACAGATTTTTTTGTTAGATCGCGTAAATATGTGCCGTTAAACCCACCACCACCCGACACAGCCAATTAGTAAGGTTTGTCACGTAAACATAATGTTATGGCTTTGCTCTCCCAACACACCGGTGTGCTGTACTAGAAACGAATTGGCATGTTGTTTACTTGACAACCCTTACGAATTGGCTGTGTCGGGTGGTGGTGGGTTTAACGACACATTTTATATATTTATAAGCGATCTAACCTAAAATAAACCCTGTATTATGGATGATATTGGTCGCGCAAGCCTACGTGTTAAACTACTTGTCATTTATTGTCAAGTATGCTAGGGCGGGTTTACACCTCCGAGTGAGTTCCCCCCGGACAAATTTTTCAAACATGTGTAATGCGGGCGTAAACGGCCTCACGGATTTGACGTAACAGGGGGGAGGAGTTGGGTCACGTGGGGAGAAGGGAGAGCTCTTAAGGACGGGAACCGGAAGAGACGGGGAGAGAGGGTAAGAATAAAGACGGGAGAAGGCCACGCAGGGCAGGAGGTGGGAAGTGGCGTGATCGCCACAGGACGGGACTCGGCACCGTTGGCCAGCGGTGTCCGGGCACGGGGGAGACGGAGAGCAGCGGTGGGGTTGCAGAGAAAGAGCAGCCGAGGGGCTGCAGATCGGGGCGGAGAGGCTGAGAAGAAGCCAGCAGCGGAGCTGCATCGGGAGTCAGCAGAAAGGCTACGGGAGCGACGGCAGCAGAAGGGCTGCCAAGCGGGAGGTGGAGAAAGCTCTGAGCGAGACGCCGTGTGGGAGAAGTTGTACGAACCCAAATAAAGGACAACGGAGACAGACACAGTGAAAGAGTCCTTTATTACACTGGTGTCAGAAGTGAAACGGCATGTCAAAACAGCTCAGGAGAAAGAACGTCCCCGCACCATCGTCTGCTACATCGTCCGATGACGACGACCTTCCTCAGGCAGTGGACCTGCCTGTTATGGAGGAGGAAATCCATGCCCGAACGAGTGCTGGTCCGGGAGTGCAAGATGTCGCCGCGTCGGTGGTTCCGCCCGCGCCGGAGGACGCTGACCAACGATGGAGACAGATGGCGGCACAGCTGGAGACCTTGAAGACCGTATTGGCGCAACTGTGCAACGTCGTCACGCCGGCGACGGCGTCGGAGAGGCCCGGGGGTGATCGGCAGGCCTCGGCCTTGCCTGCGCTGCCAGCGCCCTCTGCCAAACGGCGCGAAGACGCCATCTTGGGCGTGGCAGGGGAAAAACCGCAGGAAGCCGCCATCTTGCACCCTCCGCGGCGGGAGGCCGCCATCTTGGACACGTTGCGGTGCGACGCCATCTTGAATATGCCACGCGACGAGTCGCCTGCGGAGGACGGCGTATTGAGGAGTCGCAGCCGTCACTTGACAACTGTTAAAGAATTCTCCATTGGTGGCGATTGGAGTGCTTTCGCCTGCAGATTTTTAGCGGCGGTGCGCTCCGCCAGGTGGACTGACGCAGAGGCCCTGGAAGTTCTGCCAACTCTCCTCGACGACGAGTCGGTCCGATTCTTCCGGTCCATTAAGGCCGAGAAAAAGAAGATACTGAGAGGAGTTTTTGACGAGATGGCGGATGCGTACAAGCCACCGGATGATGCTCACCGCCGATTCGTTCAACGCCAGCGGGGCACCCGAAGAGTTGCTGGTGGCATACAGGGGTGCTGTCTTGGAATTAGCCATGGCCGCATACCCAGAGACGGAGCCTGACCTTCTGGAACCCCTGATTTTGGGCAAGATGCTCGAGCTGTCCAGGGATTTGGGGATCCCCATGCCGGTGTGTGGCCATGAGAAGCTGACATCCCGCGTGGCCGCAAAGTGTCTGGATGCCCAGTTCAATCTACGCCGCTGGAAGCAAGTGACAGCGTGGACGGGGGGGCCCATCGTCGAAGGAGGTGCCGTGGGTTGGGATCCCAAAAAGGCGGTGTACGTTCCTGATGGGGGGGGCCCGCAGGAGCTGACAGCCGCCTCTGCGCAGTGGTCGGCCCGCGGTGGACCGGGGCCGCGATCTGCACCGCCGATGCGGGAGCGTCGGGATGGGGGGACTGCGGTGCGTCGTAACGACGTCGAGAGCTTCCGCTGCAGTCGTAAGGGCCATTACGCCAGGGACTGCTGGGCCCGTATCCCAGGACCGCCTCAGCAGGAGGCCTCGACAGCAGACGTGCCGCGGAAGGACCCTCCTGGACAGGCAAGTCGGTGCGCACCAGACACCCGGCAAGGCTTGACACCTCATTCATCACCATTGCCGCGCGATCCGGGTGTTGTTAATAACGGGAGGCCACCGACTGGGCCATGTCGCTCGGTAACGCAGTGGCGTAAATTGGCACGGCGGGTTGTCGCGGCCGCTACTGGTTCGTCCACTGTACCGGGTTCTATACAGGGGGTTGACATGCGCATTTTAGTGGATTCCGGTGCGTCCGCGACCATTATATATTTGATGTCATTTTCCATCTGTTGGGCATCCCACCGGAGGCTGTGCGTCCGGTTTATGATTCCTGCGTTGCAGCGAATGGGGGAAGTATGGGCATTGTGGGCCAGGTGGACGCCAATATATCTATCGGGGGAGTGTCGGTCTCGGGAATTGTGTTAATCTCGAGGTCCCTTGCGGTTCCGTGTTTGTTGGGAACTGATTTTCTGGCCAAAATGCCCATTCTAATCAGAGTTAATCAAAATTGTATTGAATTACCAGGGGGTCGAAAAATTACATTTCTGCCGTCGCCCTGGGGGCGACCTGCTCCGGTCTGCCAGGTGCAGGCGCTGTCCGAGGTATCTGTTGACATTCCACCTGGCTCACAGATGCTTATCCCCTTGCGATATCGGAAACCTGTGCCTGGTCGGGAGGGAGCAACTGGGGTTTTGTTATCGCCGTCCGCTACCATAACGGGCGGATCGGCGCTCGTCGGGGTGCAAACTATAATCCGGCCGGACCAGCAGCCATTTTTGCAGGTGCTTAATGGGAGTACGGAAAATATTTGCGTGCCGGCCGGAACGGTCGTGGCCCATGCCACTACGGCGTTTATGGCCCAGGACCATCTGGCCCGCCGGGATATGGTTGCCAGTGTTTTGGGCCCTGCGGCCCCAGATGATCGCTGGATCGCCGAATTGTGCGGGGAAAATTCTTCCCTTTCCGGGGAACAGCGTTCCGCGCTTCGCGCGCTATTGTTGAGTTATTCCAATGTGTTTAGCTCCGACGATTTGGACTTGGGACACACCTCCCTGCTTTCCCATCATATTGACACAGGGGACGCTGCTCCCATTCGGTTGAACTCGCATCGGATGAGCCCAGCGGAGCGAGACCATGTTCGAGGGGCAGTGGATGACATGTTGGCTGCGGACATAATATCTCCATCTAACAGCCCGTGGGGCGCGCCTGTAGTCTTGGTTTAAAAGAAAGACGGGAAATTGCGATTTTGCGTTGATTTTCGCAAATTAAATAAAGTGTCCGTGGCGGATGCGTACCCCCTGCCGCGTATGGATGATTCC